GATATGAACAGTGTGAGGAAGTAACAGAGAACTGCAGAAAGAAGCAGGTAGCAGGGAGGCTAGGCCCAGGCTGGGCTAGAGAGGGTTTTTTCCTCTCCTGCTTCACTGAGAGGTGATGAACACGCTGCCCCTGAAGTCTGGGCACATGGCAGGTACAAGGAGGAGCTTGGAGGTAGGGAGCATTATAGGTAGAGGGACTGGTTAGTCTGAGGCCCTGAGGAAGGAGGGCATGGGGAAGCACTGAAGGATCAGCATGGCCAGATTATAGTGAGGAATGCTGCCTGTGGCCTCCAACAAGTCTTCAGAGTTGAGGGGAGGCAAAGCATGGTCTGATGGGCTCATAAGCCAGGATTAGAATGGGAAAGTCTGTTCTGAGAGCAACAGGAAGCCCATGGAGGTTTTAGAGAATGGTAACATGGCCAAGTTTGCATTTTCAAAAGATCTTTCCAGTCACATTATAGATGCTCAATTAAAAGAAGGCAAAATCTGGGCATCATAGTGCACATCTGTAATCCCAGCCCTCAGGAGGCTAAGGCAGGAGATCCCAAGTTCAAGGCCAGTCTGTACTACATAGTCCTTATCTCAGGAAAAAAAAAAAAGAGAGAGAGAGAGAGACAAGAGTAATTGCAAGGAACATGGGTAGCAAGCTATGTAATTGTCCTGAAGAAAGAGGCAGAGATGGTACCTGTGGAAGTGGAGAGAAGTAGATAGCCTCAAGAGAAATTTGGCCATGGATGAGTCGGACCTGGGAATAGATTGTTTGGGGATGGGTGAGGGAGGGAGTTTCCAGGATGTCAAGGATGCCTCCCAGGTTTCTGGCTGAGCAGAATAGTGGCTAGTGTTGCCGTTAAGAAAAGCCGAGATCTAGCTTGTCTCGTGGCACCGAGTCACTGTTTGCAATGGAGAAAACCCCTCAGAATTCTTTAGCCCTGCTGCTGGAATCCAGCTACATATCCCTTAGAAAGAAGCCTCCTTCCTCTGACTGGTCCCTCCCAACCCATGTAAGTTTCAGCAAAGGAAGAAGCAGAGATAAAAGCAGAGCATAGCAGGTTGCCTGCCCTTCTGAGACTCTATCCTTCCATAGTGCACCGTCTTCAAAGAGGGGCTGGCCTCTCTTCTTTGGCAGTACCTACAGAGGGGCAGCCAGCTCCTACTCAGCATCATGGATGCCCTCAGACTTCTCATGAAGCCCAAAAGGAGGACCAAGAAGTTTATCTGGCACAAGTCTGACCAGTATGTCAAAATTAAGTATAACTTGCAGAAACCCAGAGTGCACAAAAGATTCAAGGGCCAGATATTAATGCCCACCATTGGTTATGGGAGCAATAAGAAAACCAGCCACATCACTCAGGAGGCTGAGGCGGGAGGATTGTGAGTTCAAGGCCAGCCTGGGCTGCATAGCAAGACCTGTCTGAAAACAAAAGTTAAGGTTCAGTGGCCTATGCCTGTAATCCTAGCTACTTGGGAGGTGAAGATCAGAAGGATTGCAGATCAAGGCCAGCCCAGACAAAGAGTTTACAAAACCCCATCGCAACCAATAAAAGCTGGACATGATGGCATTCATTTCTCATCCTAGCTACACAGGATATATAGTTGGATGGCTTTCCAGGCCAGCCCAGGCATAATCATGAGACCCTATTTGAAAAATTACTAAAGCAAAAAGGACTGGAGGCACAGTCTTCTAGCTTCTTACCACCTGCCTGGTAAGCGTAAGGCACTGAATTCAAGCCTCAGTACTGCCAAAAATAAGAAAAAAGACAACTAAGTTCAAAGAAATTCCCAGTTCATAAAGTCAAGGAGCTGGAAGTGCTGCTGATGTGCCTCAACCCTACTGTGCTGAGATTGCTCAGTATTTCCTCCAAGAATGGCAAAGCAGTCCTAGAAATAGCAGCCTTAGAGGCTGGCTAGGAATCATCTTCTCTCTGGCCATCGAGGTCACCAATCCCAATGCCAGACTGCACAGAAAGAAAATGAATAGACAACTCATGTGCATATTTTATTAGTGCTTAAATAAAACTATAACAACAGTAACAAAAAATGGGGCTAGTGCTCAAATTACAAACAGCCTCTGACAGAAAGCTGGGACCAGTTCTGAGGCTCAGAGGGTGTGCATAGTTTTGCCCCAGTCTAAGTTAAAGAGGGCGCCTTCATCTCTTACATCCCAGAGAGGTGCTGAGCAGCGTATGGTCCTACCTGTCTCTGAAAGAGGAAGATGCCCATGGCAATCTACTTCAAAGCCTTGGTGAGGCAGGGCCTGTCTCAGGAGCATGCTGACGAGTAAGAATTACAAAGGGAGGTAACTTCTGAATTTGACTGTGGTTATAAGTGCACAATTTTTTGAGTATACTAAAACACTGAACTACATACTTTTTTAAAGGGTATTAATTACATACAATATAATAAACGAATAAAGATAATGAAGGTAAACAAGAGCACTGGGTTCCAGATTGATGATAAATGAGAGACATGCATATCACCCTCAAAAGCTTCAAAGGCTCCTCTATGTTTTCTGAGGGAGATGCTATCAGCCCCAAACTGTCCTGAAGTCGTTAGCTTTATGGCTGTCCTGGGAGTGGAGCAGGAAGAAATGTCTGGCTTCTATTTTCCTGAGGTGCTAGTGGCTCTTCCTCCCAGGCCACTCCTGGGAGTGCTCCTTCTTCCTCTTAGTATGAGTCTTTGCCAACTCCAGTCTTCTCTGCCTCCCTGCCTTCTCTTCTCCCTCTTATCCAGATGTTAGAACTGTTCTCACTCTGCCCTGTCTTCCTTTTGCCCATGTGGGTTCTCAAGATATGAGAAGTGAGATAACCACTAGGCCTATGAGACCCCTAGTCCACTAAGCACTGATGGAAGTACCAGGGCGCCCCCCAGTGTGCCTCATTAACATTGCTTCTTCTCACCCTCTGGCCTGAATTTTTTTCCAGCTGGAATTTTGTTGCACCCCAGTAGTGGAGGCAGATTTTTTTGGGGGGGAAGGGTTGGGAGAGGTTAGGGGGGCGGGAGGGATGCAATACTGGAGTTTGAACTCAGGGCCTCACACTTGGTAGGCAGGCTCTACCATTTGAGTCATTCCGTCAACCCCTTTTTTGTGTTTGGTATTTTTGAGATAGGGATTCAAGAACAATTTGCCCAGGCTGGCTACGATCCTTCTGATGTCTGCCTCCTAAGTAGCTAGGATTACAGATGTGAGCCACCAGCACCCGGCAGAGGCAGTTTTCTTTCTCCCCAAGAAACACATGAGAAATAGTTAAGGCCCTAAAGATGTAAGTGAGAAGAAGGAAAATTAATTATTCACAGAAGCTAAGTAGTAAAATGCTAGTATTCCTATTCTGTGTCTTTTCTTCATTTAACAAGAGGCAGTAGCCAAGTGCAGGTTGCTCACATCTGTAATTCTAGATACTTGAGAGGCTGAGATTGGATTGTGATTGGAGGCCAGCCCAGGCAAATAACTTTCCAAGACCACAACTCCAAAATAACCAGTGCAAAATGGACTGGAGGTCGGTTCAAGTGGTAGAGCACTAAAGACCTGAGTTCAAACCCCAACCCCTCCCCCCAAGAAAAAAAAGAAAAAAACAGTGTGGGGGCGTGCTTACCTAGCAAGTTCAAATCCCAGTGGAGGCAGTGTGACCTAATGAAAGTACTCAGCCTGCGGATAAACTTACCAACCTTATGTGTGTGACTGTGGTATACTGACTCTGAGACTTAAGATTACACCTGTAAAATGGAAATAAGAAGATCCACCTCATATTTTGCATAGTATGCTACATTAATTAAAGTTTAATTAATGTGGCTAAATACTTTTATTTGTACAGAGCCTCCTGTGGAGTAGGGTACTCAGTAAATGGTACCTGCTTGTATTACTTTATTATTATTACAACTGAAGACTACCTAGAAACCATTTTCTCCCTTCAGGGAGATCTGAAACAAAGGCCAGCTGCCTTGCACAATTCCAGGAGCTGAGGCACCACTCACATTGTTTTCTTCGTAAAGCCCCTTTCCCAGGGGTGAGCAATGCTGGCTCTCTAGGGCTTCTCCATTTGCCAACTTGGGTTCTCTCTGACACAGGGATATAGAGATTTGAAAAAATACATAAGATAGCAAAATAAAAGTTTAAAAAAGAAAAGATAAAGCCAGAAGGGCCCAGTCAGAAACAAACTGGGGGCCCAGCTCCACTCCAGTAGTGGAGTTTGGCACCCTGCCTGGTACATGGATGAAGCCTAGCAAATGCTAATTTCCTGCTCTTCCTGTCCCCCTCAGATGTTGCCCTGAGTATGAACATGACCCTGGTCTGATCCCTTTATTAGTTAAATGGTTTTCTTCCTGTGAGGTGGGTGCCCAGTGGGAGGGAATAGAGACAGGAAAAACCAGAAGGTGGTCAGCTTGTGAAAGTTGATAGCAAGAAAAGGCTGTGCCTCCACAGCGCCCCTCTCAAGTACAGAGTCGTCATCTCCCTTCTGCTGCCATCTGTGTCCCAGGGTGGAGGTGCCTGTTGCTGTTCTGGCCATTTTGGTAGCTTATTAAATCTCAGTACCACTTGCCAAGACCCCTTTAAACCTCTTGGCTGTTCTTTTTGCCTTTTCTGATCAGCTGTATTTATTCTGAACTAAATGGTCCTCACTGCAGAATGAAAGGATTTACTGCTTAAGTATACGAAAAGAAATCTTGGCTGCATTACAGTTGCACCCTCTCCTTGCTGTCTTATCCCAAGCCCTCTCTGCCTGCGCTCCATCCACTAGCTGGTGCCACTGAGACTGGATTGGGAGCCATGCTTGGTGCAGGGTGTTCTTGTTCAGTTCAGTGGCAGAGTCCAATTGAAGTAAGACTAGGAGGAGCTTGTTTTTGGGAACCCTCTCCCAAATGTTCTGCTGCCCAGGGGACTGGAGACTCAGGAATGGCTGGCTTGTGCTTATGCTCTGTCTCTCTTTCCATGTGCACGCACACGCTCACACACACACACACACACACACACACACACACAAACTCATATTCTCTTTCTCTGTCAGGATTGTACTCATGGACGATGCTATGGACTGCTTGATGTCTTTCTCAGATTTTCTCTTTGCCTTCCAGATCCAGTTTTACTATTCAGGTGAGTGTTCGAGGCCCCATGTGGCTCCTGTTTATAGGACCATGTCTCCCTTTCCCACCATGTTGTCCTTTCCATCTATGTGCCTGGCACAGACATTTCTCTACATCTTTAGAGGTATATTTCACTGCTGGCCACTAAACATATCTAACTTGCACTGTTAGCCACAAGATTCAACCTTCAGAAGACATTGAAAATCACACAGCTTTCAGTCAGCAGCACAACAAATCTATTTAAGTAATGAGGACAGAAACATCAATAGCATTCACTCTGAAAACTTACTGTGTCACAAGTATAACACTAAGGGCTTTAATCCTTTCAACAACCTTAAGGAATAAGTCCTTTAGGGGATAAGCTTGCAGAGGTAAGTAACCAGTCATACAGCTCCACAGTGGAGCCCAGACTTGAACAGAAGGCTGACTCCAAAGCCAGTGTACTTAGCTACTTCCTTGGCCTTTGTTCACATGTGTAGCACACGTTCTACTATTCTCATAACTTTTAAAAAGGACACACCAAACCAGGCACAGGGGTGCACACCTGTAGTCTTAGCTATTCAAGAAATTGAGGCAGAAGGATTGCTTGAGCTCAGGCACTCAAAGCCATCCTGGGCAACATAGCAAGACCCTCTCTCTGGTTTTTTGATGGTACTAGGGTTTAACTCAGGCCTCTGAGCTCATGAGGACCTTTTCTCTTAAAAAAAAAAAAACACTCACCAGGCCTATTTCACACTTCCACTCTTCTGAATTCACACCAGCTGCACCCTTAAATCCCGTCTGGAGTCATGTCGAATAAAAATAGATAAATACAGCTGGGATCACGCCTGTAATCCTAGCTACTCAGGAGGCAGAGATCAAGAGAATCACAGTTCAAAGCCAGCTGGGACAAACAGTTCAAGAGAACCTGTCTCAAAAAAAAAAAAAAAAAAAAATCACACAAGGGTTGTGGAGTGGCTTAAGGTGTAGGCCCTGAGTTCAAACCCAAGCACTGCAAAAACAAATAAATAAAAGATAAATGGAAATGAGCATAAGCTCACACACAAGTGACACCAAGTGGAATGTGGGGCTTAAAAATTGCCGTGTCCATAAACAAACTTGTGTAAAATGGGCTCTTCTAATAAATGGAAGGCTGTCCTTGAAGCCTAGAGATGGCTTTCCTGCCAAGGCCTGGCCTTGCGAAGGTCTCACATTCTGTTTACTTGATGGCAGCTCCTGGGCTGGAGTCTTACCACCTGCTCCTAGCAGCACCAGGCATCTATTCCTGGTGCTCTGAAGCTCTTTGACTCTAGAGAAGCAGCCATGTTTGGGAGAACCGTTTCTCTTCTCTGAATCCCTGTCCCTCCTCTCACAGCACTCCCATAAAGACTGGGCAGCCTTCTTGTGCCACTAGCTTCATTATACTGCATTATGGTGTGTGTTAGAGATAAAAAGGGCCTTAAGTCATTGATTACTAACAATTGTGTGACTATAACACTTTGATAACAATTTCAAATGATTTACTAAATTAGCAGCTAGCAGGCTTTCTTCATTCCTCACTGATATTCCAACATGCTTTCTTAAGTTAGCAAGACAGGTGGCCTCACAAGATGGGGCTTACCAGTGGGAATGTGTACATGTACAAAGCAAAATACAAAATAAGTATAGTATTTAATATGTACCAGCTCAGTACTAGGTGCTGGGGAGGAGAGGTCAACAAGGCATGACCCCTGCCTGTGTGCAAGGAACTTACATTCCAACAAGGAGACAAGACTAAATAACAGAAAACTTGTCATTGAACAAGTGCTCCCTGCCTGAATTGTACCCTTCTGCCCCCATGGTATCAGAATTTCTGGACAGTGTGGCTGCCATCTATCAGGACCTGCTGTCAGGCAAGAACCCCAACACAGTGATTGTGCCAACGTCATCCAGTGGGCAACATCGCCAGCGACCTGCCTTGGGTGAGGCCAGCATGTTGGAGGGAGTGGAGGCGTCACTGTTCTACCAGTGCCTGGAAAACCTGTGTGACCGGCACAAGTACAGGTAGGAAACAGGCACACAGACCCCACCTCAGCCTCAGGGATCACAGGCTGCTAGCTTGGGAACATGTCTCTAGAAGGATGTTCTGATTGGTCTGGGGCTTCTAAGGCCCTAGATGGTCATGAAGCAAATTGGAACAGGGCCGTTTGCCCCCAGAGCAGGTTGTGACTGAAAGGCTTCCCCATTTGCTCACTTAGAAGGGAGCACTTTCACTTGGGCAGATCAACTGTAGATGACCAGCTTGCCAGGAGACAGGTTGGCCCTGACTTCTTAAGGAAAGAACATTCACTATTCCAATTCCAAACTTCTCCACAGAAAGGGAAAGTTCATCTGCCTTGTGTGGTGCAAAGTTCCCTTAGGGACAGAGCATCTAGCCAAGGAGGCTGTCATCAGTAGCCATGTCGTCCTTCTGTCCCTCCTACGCCCCCTGTAAAAGCACCAGAAAAGCACATGCCAGCCCTTCTTGTCTTCCTTCAGTCAGGGCATTGCTCTTGCAGATGTGCCATGCTCCCCTTGGTTCCCATAGCTGGTCCCTCAGTCTTGGCTTTGGGCATCCCCCTAAGCCTGAAGGTATGGTTGGAAAGATGGCACTCCAATTTGCTAGTCTTTGAATCTGGCATCTTGTATTCTCCTCTCTAGCTGCCCACCCCCAGCACTTGTCAAAGAGATCCTAAGCAATGTTCAGAGACTGACCTTCTATGGATTCCTTGTGGCCCTCTCAAAGCATCATGGAATCAATCAAGCCCTAGGTAAGCCAGCGCTACCTATCGCCAGCTGCACTTCCCCACAATACAGGTAGCAGCTGACCTCTATTGGCAGACATGGCCCCATGCGGGGTAGGAGGTATCCCTCTCTCTAACTTGGCTTCTCTGGGCCAGCCTGTGATTCCCAGGAAGTCGGAATGTGTGCAACCCAAAACTGCCCTTGTAGGCTTCTTATATTCCCAGGTAAGGAACAGCCTTCCCACCCAAGGCTCTGCCCCAACCCCTCCCCATAGGATCCCTGGTTCTACTTTTGGGAGGGCCTGCATGTTGGGCAGACACAGTTTATCCACTGCCTTTGGAAATTATGTATCAAAGAGACCTAAACCCTATTTAGCCCACTTAGAAACAGGGCAGAAGTGTGTCTGAGAGGTTCCCCCCCAACCCCTCCCCACCCAAGCTTGGGGGCAAATTCTGATTAATGCGAAAAAGAGGAGACAAAAAAAAAAAGGTGGGGAAGGTTGCACTGGCCCAGTTTTCTTGCCTGTCATTTTATTCTCCCTGGTTGGCCTCTTCCTCTGTACTCAGCCACTGTTTTCCCAGGGGAAGAGCAAGACACCACCCCCACCCCACCCCTCCCTAGAGTTTCATGTGGTTACTGTTTCTTTCCTCAAGAGATCCTCCTTGTGTGCTGGGATTCAGGTTCCTGAGACCAAACAGGCAACACCCCCCACCACCACCATGTCAAAGGAATGAGGTCAAGGGAAGGAAAGTTAACATTCACTAAATGCCTACCACCAGGGGTCAGGTGCTGTGCTGGAGACTTTATGTTTAATCAAACCCAACCACATCCCCTGCCCACATTCTCGGGGAGACACAAGGGCGCTAAACCTGTGCTGACCTGGGCATGCATGCCACCTGTCAGCCTGCTTATTTTAAGACAGGGGCCCCTCAACTAAATGAGGTTGGTAGCCAAGGCTGCTGGCTGTTCTAAGGCTACAGAGAAGGCAAGTGTAGGGAGTCAAACATCAAGAGTGAGGGGGAGTTGAGCTGGGAGTCCTCTCATAGTCCTAGGGAATTGACGGCCCTTCCTTCCTGCCAATGACAGTTGCTATGAAGGAAAAGCTAACTAGCAACTGGATCATAGCCTGGATCAACCTCAGCTCCTCACTTGTTCCAGGGGCCTTTAAAAACAACCCTCAATTTAATCCACAGCATGGGGGAGGAACTTCTCAGGCAACTTTTACTGAGTGAGCACTAATGCTGGCAGGAGTGGAAGATAGAAAGAACAAAGAAGCATATGGTGTGAAATAAAAATCTGGAAATAACCCTGATTGAAGGAAGCCAACTGTGGACAGGACTAGGTAGCCCTGTTCCCTCCCCAAGGCCCCCTCCAAAAGAATGATAGTGCTCCCTGGGACAGTAAGTACACCCACTTAGAGCAAAGGAAGCCAAGAAGCATCATCGGAAAAAGATTTGCAAGAGTCAAAAACTGAACTTGTACCAGATGGGTAAATTTAAGACTGAGTCTTTCTGAAGCCCAGCATCATTAACTGACCAAACCACTCTACTTCCAGAAAACTTCACCTTCCCCTTGCCACGCATTCTTCCCTCACCTTTCCCTACCAGGATTTAACCTCTCCCTTTGTAGGGAAAGAAGCTTCTCAGAGGTTTGAGTAAGAGACCTCAGGATGGGACAGCTTCCTTCCTGACCAGAAGCAGCATTTTTTTTAACCATCTGTCTCCAAGAGTCACCCTGACTTTGGAACTCCAAATTAGATCATTTCTCAGTACCTGGGACCTCAAGAATAACCCCCACCCCCAGCACCAGCTCAGAAACCACACTTCCTCTTAGAACAGAATCAACCTCTTTGGGGATATCTTCTTAGCTGTCACTTTTGCCCCAAGTACAGAAGGGAAGGCACCCAGGACTTCCTACCCCACAATGGGTTTTTGGCTCCTAGCAGTCCTCAGATCATTTAGATCAGCCTCCCCAGGGTCAGCAGAGTAGGCAGACATGAAGGTGAGGGGAACAGAGGTATCTGCTATCTGCTACTTGAAGGACCCTCAGGTTCAGTTTTCTGCTCCCCACCCCATTATCTCCTAGGAGCTTTGCCTGACAAAGGGGACCTGATGCATGACCCAGCCATGGACGAGGAGCTAGAACGGCTGTAAGTGTCAAGTGAGGAGATGCTGCCCCCTTGTGGGAGGCAGACCTCAGACAGACATGGCTGTGCCCAATTGTAGGTCACATTGTGGGTTGTCTGTAACACACCCCCCCGCCTACACACACACCACACTGGTCAGGGAGGTGATTGGGGGCCACCAGAGGGTCAAGGTATCCCAAGCCCTGGGAGTTTTTGTTCCAGTACAGAGGTGAGCGTGGAGGTCCTAGTCTCTGAACAGGAGGCAGCTCACTGCCCTCCGGGCTTCTTCCCTCCTTCAGGCTGGTCCAGGTCCCAGGCCTTATCAGCTCGGTCACTACCATTCCAGAGGCCAGCTGCCTCCCTTCCCGGACCCCTCCCCGGGTTGGCTCCCCCTGGAAATCTCTCCATCACTCCCGCAAAGTGGATGCAGAGAGTGATGGCTCCACTGAAGAGACAGACGAATCTGAGACTTGAGAAGTCTGAAGGGCCCTCTTTATACCCTGCACCTTGCTCCTGCCCAGCCTGCAGCACCCCAACCCAACCTCCTCCAGCGCCTTGCTGTGCTGCCCTCTGCTGATGAAATGGCTGAATAGCAGCCACATCCAGAGACCTGTGATCAGCCAAGCCAAACCAAGCAGTGACCCTAGATATTTCATAGCCAGCTCTGACCCTGTCAGCCCTTGTTTGGGCTTGTCAAGCCCTAGGCTGACAAGCCACCTCATCACTGGGAAAGGGACTTGACCTCAGCCTTTTATTGGCAGTCCTCCTTAACCTCTTAAGAACAGTTTCTTCTCAGCTAACCTCTGCTAGTCCCCTTTAAAGGGTCATCTCACAGTAGCTCCAGAAAGGGGGATCAATAGCAATGCAGGGCCTGGCATGGTCAAGGTTGACACCTGAGAGCAAGTACTGGAAAGACATACCACTGTGGCCTTCTGGTGATGTCATCCACTAGGAGGAAGGGAGGAGGGTGAGCAAGAAGCTCACTTTCAAAATCTGCTTCAAGTCTCCTTTGTGTCTAGCAGTTAAATCTGTGAAATGAATAAAGTCCCTTGTGTCTGGTAAGTGGTGAGTCTAAAGCCATCAGGAGAGTTCGGGTTTGTGTGGTTTTCTGGCACAATGGGAGGAGGTGGGCCTCTCTAGCTTGGAGACTTGCCTCAGCTGACAGAGGCACTGGCCTCCCAAGTGAGAGCAGCTGCTCAAAGGAGAGATGTGCACAACTGGAATGGCCTTTAAGAAACACCTTGAGGGTTCAATGCCAGGTTCCCTATCTTCCAAGATCCTGACCACAAAAGGCTAGCACTGCACAGCCTTCTAGACAAACGTTTCATTAGGCATTTGCCAAGCACCTACAGGGGATTCAGGGAGTAGGGATACAGCTATAAGCAAAACAAAATTGAGGTGTACAAGCTTCCTAAAACTGGGGAAAGCAAGGCAGGTAGTCTTCAATTTCCTTGAAGGGAGGGTTATCCTCCAGAAAGTAAAACCTATCCAGGCAAAGCAAGCAGCCTCCTAAGTCAGTGTCATCATTACTGGGCATATTTTCTGGGCTCCTCCCTGCCCAGACCAGCCATTGGGTAAGTACAAGAACTGGTTTCCAAACCCTTGCAATGCCCAGGCTAGGCCTGGGAAGCCCATTCTAAAGCAGCTCCCTCTGCCAGCCTTGGAGGTTTCTCTAATTCTGCTGTGCAAATTACAGAACTTGAGTCCCATCCCACCAGCTTAGGATGGAGTTCAAAGCCTTTATTTCTTATGAACACTCCAGATGATTCCAAAGCTAGAGCCTCCAATACATACTGGAAATCCCTGGCTTAGAGCCCCATGGCTCCTGCTCCCTCTCTGTCCTTTCTAACACTCTACTTCCCATATCAGCAGTTTATAACCATACTCTATAAGGGGGTTCCTATAAGGAAAGAGATAACAAAGCCAGGGTATACACAAACATGTTCACTCTTCCAGGACTTAAAAGGGTCCCACTCAAATCTGAATATTTATATTTTTATAACTCCAATGAGTAACCTGTCCCCAGCCCTACCTCCTGTTGAGGGGAGGTATAGGGTTGCCAAGGGCACTCACACACCCTCAAGTCATAAGGCTCTGCAGATGAACTAAAGGGCCAACTAACACCAGCTCTTTCCTCCGCGTGCAACAGGGTGGTGAGGTCGAGGCTGCACCGGACTGCACAGCAGCACAGGGGCGAGGAGCCAGGGGCCTTTGCCTTTCAGAGAAGAGACAAGCTGGAGGCCCTGGAGAGAGTGCCCTCAGCACCAACGCCCAACCAGTATCGGTGGGAACCCAGAGAGTGAGCAAGGGGCCGCAATGGGCAGGGAGGCAGGATGGAGAGGACACTGACCTACAGGGCCCCGTGGGGGCTTTATTTTGTTTCAATACAAACAGTCCTGAAAGAAAGTCATGTCCCTCTGGGGAAGGGATGGGAGAAGAGTGGTCTGTGTTGTTTGGAGCCCAACCTACGACCAGCAGGTAGGGCCGAGACTGCCACAAGGCAGGGGAAGATGGCACCAAGGATGACACAGTGCATGGCCCAGCTGCCGAAGGGTGAGGCCTGCTGTAGGCCCCTCATTGGTGTGGTGTTGTTCAGGGAACTCTCAGCCCAGGATGATGCAGAAGAAAGCTGAGTCCCAGAAGCCTGCTGAGGCCTGTCTCTCATGGCCTCTTTTTCCCCGGCCAGGAGCATGCTCACAGCATCCAGTCAGGACACAGGGCAAATGAGACCCACCATGGGCACCAACCAGGGAAAGAAGGGAAAGTCTCAGGCACGGACAAAGGGTGTCATGGCCCACAGTTACAGTAGGGAGGAGCTCTGAGACCCCTAGCAGAAGTCAGCTCCAAATGATGATGGTAAGACAAGAGATCACTCAGGCCTCCAGGCCGATCCAAAATGAAACGGGCCAGGTAATGTTTCTAGCCCTTAATAAGGCCCAAAGGTCCTTCCCCTCCCTCTGTCCTCTCCTGGCACCCAGAAGAGGCCACTGGTAGCAATGAAAGCAGTGGCAAGTCCAGACCAGCCTGGGGTCCACAGCAGAATTCTTGTTAGGCCTCCGCAACTCCAGAGTATGGAAGCCTAAGCTCCCAGACCACCTACAAGGATCCTTCAGCCTGCAAAAACCTTGTACTTTCCCTGCTCAGGGAAGGGCTAGGCCCAGAATAAGCCACCCAAAAGGAATCCCTCCCCTCACTCCCAGTACAGCAGGTCAAGTGAGCAGCAGCTTTGGGGCAGGATTGGAAGGACACTAGCATGGAGTAGAGGGTGTAAGGGGATGAGGCTAGGGGCTCAATCCATAGGCAAAGAACAAGGGCTGATGCTGACCATTTCCCTCGCCCAAGATCCTCCAAGGTCACCCCACTCACACACCACACAGAAAAAGTAACAGTCCCCAGCTTCCACAGGCAGGTATCCCTGGCCTGGGAATAATGAGGTTCTTGCTGCTGTCACCACCACAGGCCTGAATCATGGATCAGTAGGAACCGTAGCGATCCTGGGAGCAGGGAGAAAACAAAGTCAGTCTCTAACCTGCAGCAGCTTCCCAGCATGCACACTGCCTCCCAACATACCCTGCTGCAGAACTGAGACTTTAGGGGACTGGGTGCCCCCGTAGGAGTTCTAGAGCTAGGGCAGGGGAAAGCTGGGCACTAATCAAAATAACAGCTACCCCCTTTGAAGCTGGGAGGGAAAAGAAAGAGTAGTAAAGGTGACAAAGGGGAAATCAGTGCAGATACAGTTCACTGAGACCCAGCCCAGTTCAGGGCTGAAAAGAAGTAAGCTGCCACTTCAAGAAAAGCAAATGTTTTCTTTAAGGCTGCCAGCAGCTATCCAGAAGCAGTGTCTCAACACAGTAGAAGGCAAATCTCCAGGCACTACTCTTTAGGCCTCTTCCCCAGCCTCACCTGCAAAGAATTCATCACACCATTGGCCAGCACAGCCATCTTGCCAGCCACAGACTTGACACCCTGCTTAAACTGGGCAATGTCAGCTGTAGGGAGCACATTCCCTAGAGATACACTTCCTGTAAAAGAAAGGGAAGGTATAACCCAGAGTCTTGAAGGAAACCCTTCCCAGTCAACAGTCCTCCACTTGTGCTCACAGGCCTCACTCAACACCTATAACTCTACTGGAGCCCTACCTCCTCCATGAGTTCCATCTATGTCCCCAAAGAGGTCTGAAGAGCTGATGGCACTGCTGCCGGAAAGTTGCTGTAGCCGAGACCTGGCTTCATACTGTATTGAAGAAAAGGTAAGGCCTTGGGATCTTCTGGCCAATGATTCAAGAACTCATATAGGCCAAGCCAAACTGGTACTAAAGCCCAAAGCCCAAGCAGGGAGGAAGCTCTTGCTTACCTCAGTATCTACCTCTCGCCCAAAGAACATGTCAGATGAGATGGCTTTGGCTCCTGCAAACTTCTGACGTGCTTCACTGGACTCAAGGCCCGTGCTCCGGCTCTCCACGTCCCTCCGGTTTGTGGCTCTGAGGGGTGGATAGGGAACATCTTTGACTCTTCCTATTACCACCAGGGGAAGCAGAGTACAGAAGCCAAAAAAAAAAAAAACTGATGGCCTTTTGGCCATGGCTTACCATGCTCTATTCTGTCTGTGGCTTGGGTCTCAGGGACCCTCTCCCCTGGTGAGGAGCCTCCAAAGGGATACCAGGAAGCCCCTCCCCCCCCCCACTCCCTTCTCCACACTGAAGCCAAGGCACAGACAGCCTAAGTTACCTACATTAGGCAAAGTGGAAATATGATTTGGAAGGGCCTAGGTTTCAGCCCCTAACCACTAAAGTTTCATGAAGGTGTAAGAAGCTATGTCATCACTGCTGCTATCCTACTCCTAGCTACATAATCTTCCTAACACTGGATTTATACCTACTCTCCTGCAAAGATTATCAATAGTACCCCCCAGAAGCATCCGAATGTGGATGAAAAGGTACGTGGCACTCTTGTTCTAGCACTGATTATGCACAGGCTTTGGGCGAGGGGGTTTTACAAATTTCATTACATTTAATCCTTCCAACAACCCTGTGGTAGTTCTCCACTTCACAAATGAATTATCTGCAGGCAACTTACTAAGAAAACATTGCCTAGATTAAGATGGAATAAAGCTCAAAAAAAATAAGGGGCTCACTGGCAGAAAGCTTGCCTAGCATGTATAAGGTCCTGGGTTTCATTCCCAGCACTGCAATTGATCAGTAAGACAGGGACCAGAATTACGTAGCCTTCATGAAGGAGGTCAGGGCTGAATCATAAAATCAGGCCCCTCCTACCACAAAACCAGATTCCAAGCAAAAGAAGCTGCCAGGCTCCCTGTGATAAAGCACAGCTCAAACCAAAGTTGAATCCTGCACTGTCTATTGAGGTAGACACTAGCCACATGTGTCTATTTACATTCAGTTCCTCAGCTGCACTGGCCACATTTTTAGGTTAGGGCTTAACAGCCAAAGAACTAATGACTACCCACATTGGACAGTACAGATACAGAACACTGCCATCACTCCAGAAAGTTCTACGGGACAGTGCTGCCCTAAACCACTCTACCTTTCTGAAATAGGCCGGATGCTTGAAATGGTCACTTCTGGCTCCTTCTCCTCTACTCTGTCCATATCCCAGGCTGCATCTGTATCCCAGTGGGATCCAAAAGTTTCCCCCAAGGAAAAGGGGTTGTCCTTGTACCTAGGGAGACAGCAGAGTGGCTCAGAAAATCTGAATAAGGAATGAAGTAGCAAAGTCCATGCCCCAGCAATAGCCTTACTTTGGGGGTCCAGAGGCAAAAGTTCCAACATCGTCAAACAAATCCAGCTGTGAGCAGGAGGATTTTGCACTCACTGGGGTTTCCTGCTCAATCACCTGCATCTCAGACAGCACCGAGTGGGAGACTGAGCTGTGTAGGAAAGTGGAACAGGCATGAGTCCACTAGTGAGCATCAGTATCACTTCACAAGAACAGCCACCCAGCTGCTGGGTCTACTTCAGGCATCACCCAAAGCCTTCTCCCTCTGCCTGTGCACAGCTGGGCCAACCAGGCAGAAGTTGCTAGGCACTGCATGATGACCTGGGGAGCATACCCTGGAAGTGTAGACACATTGCTTTGTTTTCTCAAAAATGTGCTTCCTAGCCAATGGTTGTTTTCCTATTAACCATTTTAATAACAATGCACCAGATAGGGCTGGTGGAGTGGCTCAAGTGGTAGAGTGCCTGCTTAGCAAAGCCTAGCAAGTACAAGGCCTTGAGTTCAAGCCCCAGTACCGCTAAAAGCAAAACACACACACACACACACACACACAAAATGTACCAGAATGGTCTCTCCCAGCCTTGCTGCACATGAGCCTAGGACAGATACACACATGCACAAGGGAGAACATGACAAAGAAGAAAACAAAGAGGAAGAGTAGGAGAGCATTTCCTAGCAAAGTCTGACGTAAGACCTGGATCTGGTCCCAGCATTCCCCCAGAGAAGGCCTGGAATGGGCAGGCAGTACGGTTCTTGATGCCTCACTGCTCTGTCAGTGAGGCACTTTCAGGATTAATATGATTCAAATAAATTGATTAGAAATTATCAACAACTTCTAGCTGAAGAACTCCAAGGAGTGTGCTTTAAATAGGGTGAACTGGGTTTAAGTTAAGAGATTCTGGGGCTGTGGTGTGTCTCAAATTATGGAGCACCTGCCTGACAAGCTCAAAGCCATGTTCAGACCCCAATACTGAGAGTGAGAGTGAGAGCTACAGAGAGAGAGAGAGAGATTAATTGATTCTGTTGAACTACAAAGAAGAAAAAACAGCCAGGCATGGTTGCTCATGCCTGTAATTCCCCCAGCACTCAGGAGGCTGAGGCAAGAGTATGGTGAGTTCAAGGCCAACCTGGGCTACACAGCAAGACCCTGTCTTAAAAAAAAAGAAAGGAAAAAAACAGCTGGAAAGTTGTTTATGGACTTTAACCCACTGACCAAAACAGGAAAGGGGAGGAGTCCTCAATCCCTTTTCAGAATTAAAAGTGTGTGTTTGTCTGATTGTCTGTGAATACACTAGCACCACACAGACTGAAAGGGAAAAACACAATCAACATTTTAAAAGATTAAGTTAAAATACCCAGCCCTGGGCTGGCGCAGAGTGGCTCAAGAGGTAGAGGGCTTGCCTAACAAGTATGAGGATATGAGTTCAAAACACAGTACCGCCAAAAATAATTAAAAAAAAAAAACCCAGCCTTATCTCCTTCCAGAGAAGTAGAGCACAATGGCTAAAAATACCAAATATGGAATCAGTTTTGTGTTCAAAATCTACTGTATCTATAGACTTAGCAAGTTGCTTAATAACAACAAATTTGAAAAATTTGTACAAAAGGGATTGCTATACCTCAGGCACAGTACCATCATGTCTGAGTAAGTAACTTCTCATAACAATAATAAGCTCATTACTCCTCAAAAGACCAGCCACTAACTAGCACAGGTTAAGTGAAGCCAAAATTGTTGGCCCTGGTACTATTGAATATTCCCAGTTTTGAGGGATCAAAAATCAACTGTTACTAAAATCTCTAGATGCTAACTCACAGTGTAGCACAAAATGCATTGGCTCTCCAGTACTTGCTTTTGTTAAGAAAAACACAGCAACACAATCCCAGTGATTCTGAAACAGAAAGGTACCTGCCCAACCCAGTGGCATCTGAACCACAGGGAGTATTTTGGGTTTTTATACTGTCTGGTAGCACAAATGGCATTTAGTGGCCAGGGATGGAGCAGGGACACTAAACCCCTATAGTTCTCAGGGAGATCTTGAAAAGTAAAGAACTGTCTCACCACTCAATATGCCCTTAGTGTCCTCACAAATAAACACCATTCTAAACTCTTAAATGTATTGAAATAGCCCATGATCCTATTCACTCATATGGCAAATATTTAGGGCATATACCTTCTGTGTGCCAAACGCTGTACTAGGTGCTTTAAGACAATAAACAAAAAATAAAAGACTAAGTGGACAGAATCCTAAATTGCTGGGAAGACTCTGCTTTGGTTCCCAGAAAAACAATAGCATTTCCCTGACTATGGCTGAGCCTCACCTTCGGGATATCAAGCCCATGCCCAGCCTCTCAGCCTGCTCGCGCTTCTTCCCTTCAAGATTCTGTAGCTTCTTCTCCTCCTTCTTGCGATCAATCTGGAGTTCCTGATAAGCCAGACGCATAGAAGCAACCCTGAAGAAAATAAACAGTCAGATGCTGGTACCCATGCTACCCACCAACTCCCACGTAAGCCAGGGGTTCTGCAGCGAACACGCACATGGACTCCTCAGCCTGCTTCTTGGCGTCTGCTGCCTGCTGCTCACGGAGCTTCTCTGCCACCTGGGCCTGCCGCTCAATCTCACTGAAGCTCTGGTTGCTCACCTTCTGGGCCCCTAGGCCTTTTTTGGCACCCAGCTGGGGAGAGAACCATGTGACATGGAACTTTGCCAACCAGTCTCCTCTGCTCCCTCCCAGGCATAGACACTGTAGCCACACTCACAATGAATGGTCCTTCTTAAAGTTTAGGGTCAGAAACGGGAGCCCAATGAGCATGGCCAGAGAACAGTGGTTCTGCTGGAGCCGGGAGTGACATGCCTCACTTAACCCCAGAGGCCACAGAGAATAAGGGCATCAGTTAATGCTGACTAGGGCCTGCTGTGTATCAAGCACTCTGCTAAGTACTAGATGTGCTCAATTTTACTGACTGCTCCCAAGAGCCTCTTGAGAATGGACATCTTTAAATCCCGGTCACAGACAAGGTTCAGACAAGTTAAATGCCTTTGCCAAAGTCATACAGCTAGTACGTGGTAAGAGTCCAAGGGTGAACTCAGGCAGTCCACTATAGTTCTAACCACCCTACCACACTGCTTCCCCCCACCTACCCCTTTCTTAGCTGCTACTGGCTTCTTCTTGCCAATGATGGAGCTTTTCAGTTCTGTGTAAGAAAGAGGATGGGCATAAGCTAGGTCAAAGGAAGGTCAGAAGCACCAGCTCAGTCCACACCATGCAGCTTCATGGCAAGAGCACCTAAAAAGAATAGCTTCAGACAAGGAAACACAAAGCTGCCACCACCAGTTCCAACCTAGGGTGTCCAGGCCAAAGACAAAGTTAGGGGAGCTTACTGCTCCCAGCAAGTTGCAACAGGTGCCTAGACCTAAAGCATAAGCGACTAAAGTCCCCAAACCAAAGTGAAGACTGTTAGGCAGGGGCAGATGCTAAATGCTAGCCTCAGCTCCTACAGTAGGGAGCTGGTGTGCAGGGCCAGGCTCCCCAAGCAACTGCTTGTTACCTTTGGCAGGAGGGGCCCCATTCACTGACAAATACACGGATCCTGGAGAAAAAACAGACTATGGCTAACATGGAGCTCAACTCAGAACCTCCCAAGCCCAGAGGCCTACACAGGGCTTGCTTCGAACCAAACTATACCAGCTTTCTCACGGAATGAGTTGGACAGTCACTCTGCTGACTTCCTGCCCCAACCCCCAAGAGTCAACAGAACCAACGTCAGCAAAGGGACTATTTACCCTAACCAAGTCTGAAGGCCACCAAAGAGTTGAAAAGAGCTGAGTGGCTCAAGTGGTAGAGTGCCTGCCTAACAAGCTTGAGGCCCTGAGTTCAAGCCCCAGTGTGTGTGGGGTGGGGGGGAGGAAGGAAGGAAGGAAGGAAAGGGCTAGTGGAGTGACTCAAGTGATAGAATGCCTACCTAGCAAGTGTGAGGCACTGAGTTCAAACCCCAGTACTGCCAAAAAGAAAGTAAAGAGCTAAAGAGCTGAAGGACAGGTACTGGCTTTAAAAGGACAGTGTCACATGACCTCTAGCCATCAGCAGCAGTTCAGAACTGTCACCCCACCCCATGAAGTGGAACAGACAGGCCAGCCCTGCTTGATATCAGAGATAAGTGTCTGGTCTCATGCTAGTCTCTTTGGCTAGATCCCGCTCCACACTCAGAGGCAACCCATCCACGTTTGACAGTTCAAAGAACCAGCTCTAAAGTCAATCACATTCCCAACCCCAGAAGTCAGAAGCTCAGTCTCCTGTGGCCTTAATCCGTATGACCAGGCAGCACAGATCTGGAAAGAACACTGAGGCCCACCCTCTCCTAGCCACCCTACACCCACCAGCTGTTATACTGACCCACAGAGGATTTGGGTGAGGTGCCAAGCAGGTCAGTGTTGGGTCCATGCTCTGGCTCTGTAGGTGCAATGACAGGAGTTAGGTATTGAGATCCTAGCATCCTGCAACCTCCCCTTAAGAGAAGTGATGGAACAAGAGTCACTGGCTTTCCTCAGCTGGTCACCAAAAGATACAAGCCCACCACTTCCTCCAAGGGACTGATATGAATTTCATCCCACCCAAGGATATAGGAAGTACCACCCACCCCCTCACATACATTCCTATTCCCTTAGCTAGCTAGACCCTTCCTAGCTCCCAGTCCTTTCCCAAGGCCAGGGCACTCAGTTGGAATCTGGGCTGAACTCACGTGCCAGGCCACTGCTCTCTGCAGACGGGGCTGGCTGCTGGATCCCTGAAGGCTCAGTGGCTGGCGCATCCCAGGCAGGGGGCTGAAAAGGAGGCCAGAAGCCTCGGTGAGCCATTCCTGCTGGCAAGGAGCACCAAGAACCTACAAGTACCTTGTGGGTACAAGGCCCCACTACTAGCCATGAGGAAAGGAGACTGGAGGTTAGCAGGTAAAATTACAGTTGCAATTCACCATGGAAAAATGATGCAAGCCCCACTCCCCCCGCCCCAACACCTAACCGTTTACTTACAGTCAAGGGACTGAAGCCTATTCCCCTAACAACTCTTAGGCAATTACCATGTGCTAGGCACAAGTCTAAGAACTAGTCACATACAAACACATTTATCATTACAACAAGCCCTATGAGATAGCTAATCACACCATGTCAAAATTTTAGAACCTGAGGTTCTGACACGTTAAATGATATGACATCAAAGAAATGCCTAGTAGAGGAGCAGGGATGCAAACTGAGAATCTGACTTTAACATCCAGTGCGCCAACAGGGGAGGGAAATCTCTCATTGTCCCCCAACTAAAGTGCTTTTCTATAAAATCGAGAAAAAGTCTGTGGCTGAAGACTGCTTGAGCCTTTGAGAAGCTTCTCTTCCTCTCCACCACCCCAATTCACAGGGGTCCATTTCACATGGGATCCTCCTATTGTACTCCTACTCACAGAAGGAAGAAACACCTACCAGCAGTAGGTGCAGCCTACCTGCTGGTCTCCCTAGCAGGCAGCAGTCACCAACTCAGTGAGCCCCAGACGTTCTCTGAAATATCACATTCTAGGCAAGGGCCATCTTTGCCATGATCACAGAGGCCTTGGTCTTGGTAAGTAATCCAATTGTCAGGAACAACTGGGGTAAATTTCTCCTGTTGGTACTCACCTGAGTGTGTTCTGTGAAGAAATCAGAGTCCTTCTTCTCTGGGGAGTGACTAGGAGCACTGCTCATATTGTCTATCCAAAGCTGGAAGAGGGAAAGCCCCATAAAACACAGGGCACTGAATACCTCCCTAACCCTACCTAATTGCTCCAAAAGTCCAGGAAGAAGCGCTTACATCAGTGCCATGCCTAGCCAGGGCTGCACTTCCCAGCTGACGTATCTTCTCCCGGTACATCTGGGCAGCTCGGCTATTATATTTAGTGTTGGCATCATTGGCTGTGCATCCATGTTGGCGGAAAAAGGCCGTCTAGAGCAAAGAACAGTGCTATAGATAATTCTCACCTGACAAAAATGTATTGTCTATATGAGACGCCTCCTTTTAATAGTTGAATTATTATTTTACAGGATGACACACTATTGACACCAGCAATTTTTCAGAGAGGTGAAGTTCTTCCAAAATTCCTGCAAAAAAATACCATGCCTCCTCCTATACCCTGAGATAAAAAAGAATGAAGCCCAGTCCTCACCCAACCTTGACTGAGGACAGCACACCATGCTCATTGTACCTGTCCTCCTTCTAGGAAGCCTGCCAAGACTTCAATGACTATGGAGGCCCCAGCTACCTGGCCTTTTCCCAGTTTAGTTTGAATTTGAAGTACCTGTGAGAGGAGTTGTGACCAATTTCCAAATTTAGGAAACAAGTGTATACTGGTGGTATAGACCAGAAAACCCTCTAAACAGAGAAACCAAAAAAGTCCAAGGAAGTCACTGCAACGTTAGTACCCAGGCAAAAGCATAGGGAGATGATGAGGGTAGGTAAAAGGAGCTTTACCGCATTGGCATTCCCGCCGACCTGCATACATCTCAGCTGCAACCAGCTCCAGTTGGAATCCAACTCTGTGGACCTGTGTACAAGGGCTGTGTGTCACCTACCAGCCGATACTCGGAGACAAGCATCCCTGGCAAGCCCACACCTGTCATTTGCCTTGGGCTGCTGTAAGCGTCCAGGAAACATACATCAGTCACTGCCCCCATTTCCTCCACTCTACCCTGTGCTTGAAAGCTTTGTTCTTCACCTGTTCCAGAGGGTACTAATTACTTCCGCAGATCCGAAAGGAGGTCGCATTCTCAGGCAGGCAAGCTCGGATTTGGCTTTCCCCTTAAGGATGGTCACAGTGTCACTAGGGAACTGTTGGGCCGGCCGATCTATCTGCAACAAGGCCAACGCAGCTACTTTCCCTACACTAACGCTCACTCTCAAGTATGTGAGGAAAGAATGGAGTTAAGGCGGAGACAGCTGACTATGTGGCAAGGGGCCCGCATAGGCGGCTCCCTCCCGCAGGAGGCTACCAGACACCCGGCTCAGCCCGTATGTTTTGAACACCAAATTCGGAGCGGTCCAAGTCAAAGTGGCCACTCTCGCTGATCACAGGTCGGGTGGAAGCTCAGCAACGGCGCGGAGAACCCACCTGATAAAGCTGAGATGGACGCCCAGTGAGCGATGCACCCCAGAGCAGTCAATGCACAAGAAAACACCATACGTGATGCTGGCCCAACTCGGACTCTTGGCGCCGCAGTCGAAACAGGCCTGAATAGAGGAGACGGTAAGCGAATGGTCAGAGGCCCAGGGTCGAGGCCGGCGCTAAAACCCCAAGAACACCACCTGCCTCCGCTCCTCTCCCTCCCTCAGGTCCCAGGGAGCGGGAGGCTTCCCCTCCGCCCGCGCCTGGCCCCGCGCCCCTCCCGTCTAAGCACCTTGTTGGTTGGAATTGCGCGAAGCCTCTTAAAAAGAGTCTGGATCTCGGTCTTGCTCGGCTCCGCCGCCATTTTCTCTCCTTCCCAGACACAACCGCGACCGACGCGTGCTGCGGCGGGCCAATCCGCGGCGGGGAAGGCGGGCTAACCCCGCCGGCCACCGCGGGGTCCCGGCCAGCAGGGGGTGGGGTGATTCCACCAGATCTGGACCAATGAGCAGCCGGCGGGACAGGAACACGACGTCAGCAGCTGGGAGCTCTGCAATGGTCAAGAGAGTGAACGCCCCTCCGCGCCGGGCCAATCGCAGCCAGGCAGGCGACGGCTCGCGCGCCGGCCCAAACTTCCTCGCCAGCGCCGCTCAGACACCCGAACGTCCAGAAGGTGGGGACGTGAGCTGCAAGAGGACGGGAGGCCCAGGGCCTATCTTGGGTCAGTTATGGATAAATGAATAATGACTAGCAGTTTTCCAAGTCTTTCTTGTCCCACCGGCCAGAAAGGGAACACACACTGGGCGAGGGACGGGAGGAGGGCATCCCCGGAGGGGGAGTCCCCGCTCAGGTGAAAACCCATTATCCAGACTCACAACAAACCAAATCTAATCTGGGCTGGAAGTGTGAGACCCTTCCAGCCCAGATTAGATTCAAGAAGTTCTAGGGCAGGAGGCAAACCCATGCCCAACCCCAGCTCCATAACACACGCTCGATGGACAAACCTCCCCTAGAGCCTGCCTCCCTCCAGGTGCAAAGGTGGAGTATCAAAAGATACATATAAAGCTCTGCGTTTTCATAGACATCTATAATTCCAGCACTCGGAAAGCCGGAGAAAAAGAGAGCCAACCTGGACTACATAGTGAGACCCTGTCTCAAATCTCACTCCTCCAAAAAAAAAAGGTCCACACAACGCTACAGTGTTTTTTGGTGTTTTTCTTTTTTTTTTTTTTTTTGATCAAGTTTAATATACACTAGAACAAGTCACAAAATAGGGTGCTGCTAACCCAGAACTACACTCACCCCAAACCCATCCTAGGAATCCCAAAACAGAGGCCAGGAATGGGGTCCTCTTCTCCTGGAAAGACCCAAGTGCTGTGGAAGGCCAAGTACCCCTGAACCCTTCTGTCACCTCCATCCTCCCATCCTGCCCTCAGCCTAGATCCCTTCGCTACCAGACCCTTCCTAGACACAGGCCCCTCCCCTCCCTGAGTCCCAGGACTTCCACCCTCTTCAGGGACAGAGGGCAGCAGCAGCATGATGGTTCAGGGCCTCAGGTCTGGCTGTCCAGGAGCAGCTGGGCTCTGACCCAGGATGGAGAGACACTGCAGTAGGGTTGTCAGGGCCTTCAGGCACCCACACACTCCACATAGTTGGCAGGATACAGGCCAATGCGGCCACTCTGCAACTGGCCCTGGCACCAGCCCTGCTCATCCTCCTCGCTCATCTTCAGCAGTTCCTCCCCTGAGGAAAAGGGGATTGGTAATTGCCAACTGCCCGGGATGACTGTTTCCACTTCCGCAACCGTGTCAAGGACTGAGGGGGATGGGGTAGTATAAGAGACTGCTAGCTATGGGACCTGAGAAGTGGCTCAAGTGATGGAGTGCCTGCCTAGCAAGTGTGAGGCCCTGAGTTCAAACACCAGTACTGCCAAAAAAATAAAGGAGAGACTGCCAACTAGAAGAAACCTGGGTCAGACAGGGATGAGAAAGCAACAAGCTACCCCATCCCAGATCCCAGAGGCAGCAATCATGCACCAACTGGCTGGACCCAGAACAGTCTGACCAGCCAGAGAGCTAGCCCTTGAGAGGAGGGGCATCTGACTTCCCTCCTCGATACCCTGGTAAGGCAGGGCCTGAAACCTTGGAAAGGGACAGGAAAGGGGCCCCAAGGTACCTGCTCGGAAGCTCAGCTCATCAGCTTCCTGGCCAGCATAGTCATACAGGGCCCGTACCCGCACCCCAGTGGCAGCCTTCCGGGGACTGTCCTCATCAGACCATTCCTCATCCTGCCCACTGCTGGAAGGGGAAAACAGAAGGGGAAACCTCAGGGTCCAAGGAAGACTTTAGGTAAGAGGTCTCGCCCAGGACTCCAGGCAAAGGGCTCGCACCTTGGAGGGATGCTAGAGACAGGTGGGCAGACTAGTCACACCTCTGCCACTCACAACTATGAGCCAAGGTACAATTCCTGCACACAGAGCTGATGTGCAATGAGAGCTTGTGGGAACGAGAGTATTTCCTGAGAAGTAACCTCTTGAAACCTGGCATCATTACCTCTGCTAAGTTGGCCCCTGGGTCCCTGGCATCAATTTTCAACCCACTTCAGAGGTGAAAGGAAGGAATCAAAGGAGAGAGAGGAAAGAGCAGGGGACAGAGCTGTTTCTTTGTCTCAGCCAAGCTTCCAGCTCTCACCCTGGGGACCCTGGAGACTGGGGTGGGGGTGCAGTGCCATCTCTTGTGGGCACGATGCTGGTCAAAGTAACCTCATTGGGGCTCCGGCCACCCTTCTCCTTCCGGCTGATTGCTCTCTGTGTGTCCAAGGACCACTCCTGTGGGGAAAGGGCTTAGGGTCAGCCTGGGCCTGTGGCTGTGGTGGCAGCAGGGCCATCTGGACCACTTGCACCACCTCCTCCTAGGACCTGCACTGACCCCAACCCTCCTCCAAGTCCCACCCAGCCTGCAGCACGTGCCTCAAACTGTGGCCAGTTCATGGCCATGCCTGGTCCATGGGTACTGCGCCACCAGCGCAGATCCTTCTCGTCACTAGCTGCCTCAATGCTCTGGTGCAGGTCTCGGTGGAGTTCATGGAACCTACGGCTCAAGGTGTTCAATCAGACAGGGAAGTCCTGGGCCCCTGTACCCCAATTCCATTCAGCCCAGCCAGAGCCCAAAGGCCTTACTTGTCACTACTTGAGAGGTCAAGGTGCTGATGCAAGGTAAGCAGCATATCTTTGAAGAATAGAAGCCGCTGGCGCTCAGCAGCCTGGCAGCTCTCAAAGGCCTGCTCCATGTCCTCCATGTAGCGTGGAGTGTAGCGGTGCAGCTCTGCCAGTGTCTGCTCATACTGGGTTTTCGTCTGGGTGGGAGAGAAGGGACCCAGTGAGGATGGACCACCTTCCACTCGGGACTGCTCCAATATTTACCAGGTATAGCCACGGGTTAGACCCTGAGCTAGCCACCAGAGGCACTCAGGCTTGAGGCCCAGTTCTTATCTTCAAGGACCTAAACAGCCTAACAAGATTGGTGACATTCAGGCACAGCACCTGTAAGAGTGTGATGGAGTGAGACAGAGTCAGCCTATGTGAAACAGTGGGAGAAATCTGAAAAGGCTTCCTGGAGCGGGTGGAAACTGGGAGCACCTCAAAGGACAGAGAGAATTTAGATATGCAATCTAAAAAGGCACTCCAGGCAGAGCAAACGATGTTGAGAATTCATCACAGGTGTTATACAGTGCAAAGAAAGAACTAGAAATTCTCAACTTCAGACACCCCAGTGCCTGAAACCCCATCAGTTCTCTCTTGGGGAACGAATCACCTTTCCTCAGTTTCCTCCTTTAAATGGCCATCTGGAGAGAGAATGGCACATGGGAATTAGAGCAGAAAGCATGCTGGGGACCAGAAAGACATTCAGGATGCAAGACGCATCCAGGAAGCCCTTGCCATTGGGTCTGTACCTTCTCTGCCTCCTTGGCACAGCGTCCCACCCGCTCCTGTAGTTTGCGTAGCTGCTCCTGGGACACAGCACTGTCTGCTTTCGCATGACTCTCCCGGGTCTGGGCTGTCTTCTCATCTTTCCGGGCTGTGTGGTAGCTCTTCTTAGAAGCCTCAACCTGGCATGCACAGGGACAACTCTGACCCCTGGATGCCAGCCCTGGCCCGCTGGAGCCCCATGCAGCCTTGGAAGTGGCCTGCCTCCAATACTCACTGTTCCCAACCTCACCTCCTTCAGTCTCTTTAGCCAGGGCTTCTGGGCCTTACGGAAGCCATCCTCTGCAGCCCGGCTCTCCCGGAAGCCGCCCAGCACTGGCCGGTGGAAGGCCCCCCTCTGCCAGGTGCGCACCCGCTCACTGTCGGGCCCTTGTAGCTTCTCCCGCACCTCTAGGTGCAGCTCACTCAGCCGCTCCGCGGCAGTGAAGAAGGCGTGCCAGGCCTTCTCCAGTGTGCCATACTGGGGGCCTGTAGAGGGATGGGGCTTGGGCCAGGCTGGGGTACCACCCCAAATGACCCCACCACCTCACTGGGTCCTGCTCTGAGGACCAGACAGAAGCAGAAGCATGGTGGAGGTGGCAAAGATGGACAGCACTGTCAGCTGCTGCATACCAGATGCCTACTGTGTGCCCTGACATGGACAGTAGCATAGACCCTTGTCTTCACCACTACCATGAGTACACTATCATTATCAACTCGGAACAGGCAAAAAACCCCTGAAGCCCAGAGAAGTCAAGTTCACTTGCTCAAAGCACTACAGCTACCAATGGAGCTCAGACTCAAAGCCAAGTGCACTACATAAATGCTATGCACCTAGGATCTTTCCATCTAATCAGAAGACCTGAGCTCCACTTTCAGCTCTTCTGAGCTCTGTGACTTCAGGCAAATCCCCTAGCCTCTCTGAACTTCCAGTTTCTCCTCTAGAGAATGGGTAGAGGTCTGGGGATTTAGCTCATTGGTAGAATGCTTGCCTAGCATGTTTGAGATCCTGGCTTCCATCCCCAACACTGCAAAACCAAAAAAAAAAAAAAAACAAAAAAAAAACATGAAGAAGAAAGAGAAGGAGAAGAAAGAGAAGGAGGAAGAGAAGAAGAGGCTGCTTACCCTTCTCGACAGTGCCCCTCCACTTGCGGGCCCACTCAGCCAGCTGCTGGGCATAGGTCTTCTCGATGCGGGCACGCTCCTGAAAGCAGCTGACCAGGTCTCCACACAGTCGGTGCCCATCCTCCACCCTCTGCACAGTCTGCCTATAGTTGCCAGCCTGGGGCACATACGAGAAGGGTGGCTTTACCAGGGAGAAGCCCCTTCTCATACTGGTGATGACAGCTAGGCTCTTCTCCCGGACAGGTGGCTGAGCCCAGGTGGCATTTCAGCGACATCCAAACCCAGGCCCCAGTTGCTTACCTCCCAGAAACTGCCCCCTAAAGCCTCCCCTCCGGTGTCTTCTTCTGGAGCCATGGTGTCCCCGCAGCACGGAATGGTGGCAGTTTTGGGGCTGTGGAGGGCAGATGGTAAGCAGGAAAGATGGACCAATACTTTGGGGGTTAGGAAAAGGCCCTCTCCTATTCCTAGGCTTTGCCCAACCACAGAACCATCACAGCTAGGACTGAGCAGCAGGGGACTGAAAGTCCCCAGAAGGAGCCACAATAGAGGTAAAGATGGTAGCTTCAAAGCTGGTCCACCTGCCTTGGGTCTGCCTTTCCCCACCCACGCCCCACATACCTGGGGTCTAGGGACCCGGATGTCCAAATCTCCAAACTGCCACTGTGACTCTGCCTTAAAGTTAACAAGAGCACAGCAGGGGATGAGGGTGGGGCAGAGGCCTCCAATGTCCAGGGCGGTGCCCAGTTCCCCCAATATAGCAACTGCTGTCAGAAGCGCTAGATTCCTGGCAGAGAATGCCAGGCGGGTCACACGATCCGATAGGGGATTAGATGGCAAGCAGGGTTGGGTAGTGCACAGAAGGCCCCACTCCTTCCACTGCAAATAAGAAGACTACTGTTCCATCAGGGCCCCCTAAATGGCAAGACCACCCTGTGAGCACATCAGGCCTAGTCAGAGGGTGCCCAGCCAGTAGCTGCCGTTGCTAGGAAGAGTGGAAAGAGCACCAGGAGGCCTGAGCCCTAATCTTGGCCAGGAAGCTTGGACAACTGCAGTTTACTGTTCTAAGGGAGCTTCAGCTCCCTCTAAGGTGGAAATTCCCCCACCTGATTGGCTTCCATGCTAACACTGATGTAAGACTCAAACCAGGCACAGAGGAGAAATGACAGGGACCCAGCAGTCTCAAGGAGATACACATCTCCCTCCCAGCAAGGTCCCACGGGGCCCCATGGACAACAAGCAACTCAGTCCTGCTTTCAAAAAGCCTAGAGTGAGGCAAGCATTGGGGAGCCACGCAGGCTACAGCCAGTAAGACAAGTGTTCTGCACAATCATAGAGGAAGGCAAGGTGAATTCCAACTCTAAAGCCACTACCTCAATGGACACAGTAGCATGCAGCCACTCCCCTCCTGCCTTTGAGCAGAGTCTCAGCTGTCCCAGCACCAAATGACTCACAGCCCCCTAGACAGAAACTGCTTCCTCCTCTGAGCAAGCCTAAAGCCCAGAGAGGACAGTCAGGTCTTGCCTGCTCCTCCCAAAGCAGGGCTCTGTCACAGTGCTCTCTCCTAACTGATGAACAGAGCTCTACTCATCCTTCAAAACTCAACTGGGGCATCGTCTCCACAGTTGCTCCCCCTGTTCCTCCATCCTCTGGGCTCCTATACAGCCCATGTGATCCTTCAGTCAGGGCATACATCCCATAGGTTGTGATTGCGTCTGCCCCAAGTCATTGATAGACTTGTATGGTTCTAATTTGTGTATGTTTCCCCAAGCACTGGAATCATAAAAACTAGCTGTATAAGAAAATGAAGCGCTGGGAGTATAGGACAGAGCATGTGCTTAGCATGCTCAAGCCCAAGGGTTCAGTGCGAAAGGAAAGGAAGGGAGAAGGAAAAGGAAAGTTGTCCACCTGAAGATCAGGAAGCCCACTGGTGTAGTGAGCAAGTCTGGCCTGCCTCTGCTGGTAGAAGGAAGCCCTCAGGCCTTTCTGGAGACCCCCAAGGGGATACAGATAGTGAAGGTGCCTGGGCATTGAGCAACCACCCCACCAGGACTCAACAAGTTCTTCACCTGTTCCTCTGGGGTCTTCCCCACTTGTCCAGAAAGGGCTTGCTAGCCAGATGGGAAGAAAGAGAGCTGCAGTCATAAATCACAGGGCCTTTGGAGCTGTCCCAGAAAGCCATCAGGGCCTGGGGCCCCTGCCTGCTCTAGCCTCCTTCTCCATGCTCCCCAGAGAGCTGCCCCCCACCCATTCCCTCTCTCTGGCCTCAGAACAGAGCAGGCTGTGTGTGCAGGGCTGGCATGGCTCCCTCAGGCCTCGCAGAGCAAACACCCGCCCAGGCACAGCCAGGTCCCAGGGCCTAGCTTCATCTAGCAGTGGGGGTGGGCCTTACAGCTTAGTCCCTGTTGACCAGGACCTCAACAGAGACTCAAATCTGGGTGAACACACTCTACCAGAGGCAAGAGCTCAGAAAGCAGGTAATGAAATCTTCCCAGCCCAGGGCCCCTGGCTCCTAATGGGTCCAGAGAAGTCCTGTGGGCATGGTAAGGTCTCCCTACTGCCATGGCCTTCCTGCTGGGGCCAAGGTAGGGAGTTCTGGGCTTTAAGAACCCACTCCCCCAACTAAGTTCCGGTACCCCAGCCCCACGCCAGCCCCCACCCCTTGCCAGGACCTGGGGGTATGCCTCTTTGAGGGAGCACTGCCACTCTGCCTTGCAAATCCTGTGTCCTGAGTCACAGGCTGCGCCCAAGGGCTTCTTCCCCAGCAGCGCCTCTCAGTCAACCCACAGCCCTAGGATGTGAGAGAACAAGAGGTAGTAGTCGCTGGTCCGAAGAGGGACACTTAGCTAGGTCTGTGGGGTTGGCACCCGAGTCCGGCGTGTACCAGAGGCTGGGGGAGGGGTGGCGCAGCGAAAGAAGGAGGCAGGGCCAGGGAGGGGCATAACAAAGGGGCACTTTTGGAAACCCGACCTGCCGGCTGAGGTGCCTGCTCCCTGATGACGCACTCCAAACCTCGGGCCTCCAAACCAAATCTTGGAGCCCAGGGGCTGCCAGTCTCTGGCTTCGACCCCTATGGACCGCGCCCCTGGAGAGAACGGCTCTCCCCTTTGCTGGTCCGACGCTGCACAACTCAGAGCCCATGGAGCCCACGCGGAGCGGCAGCACCAGGCCTAGCCATGGAGGCTCTAAGACTTCTTGGCCAAACTTGTTAAACTTGGTGGGGGTGAGGCCAGCCGATCACGGCGGAGGGGAGGGGTCGCCCTCTGTCTGGGCCAGCCCCGCGGAGGACTCCAGATGGTGGCCCGAGGCGGCGACCCCAAGAATAGAGGCTCTCGGCAGAGGACGAGGAGTCTCCGGGGACCGAGGCCTCTTCTGTGACCCCAGGACGGGCGCTAGGAGGGAGGTTTGGAGCCTTCGAGGGGACCCCAACAGATAGATTGGCTCTCCAGCCCCGACGTCCCAGTGCACCTCGCCAGCCTGAGGAATCGCAAAGTTGGCTGCGCCGCAGATGAGACGCCACCCTCCTCCCCCCGGGTAGCCCTTCCAGTTCCCACGCAGAGGGGGTGGCCAGGGTCTCCCCGGGCGGGAGTCGGTCCCATTGCAAACTTCAGAAGCGGGAGGACCAGAGGTCGGGCTAGAGCCAGAGCTCCCGCCACCGCGTCCCCGCGTGTCCCCTCCAGGGCACTCACCACGTCCTCCCTAGGCCCTTCGGTGGGTGGGGGTCCGGCCACACTCCGGCCCGAGTCCTACATACAGCTCCCCAGCCCCAGCCACCGCCTCCCGGACAGCGCGGGGCCCTCCCCCGGGAAGCCCGGCCCCCAGCCCCGCCCTCTCCGCGCCGCCGCGGCCCCCACCCCACGGGTCGGCCGCGGGGCTACAGGGACTGCAGGGCTGCAGGCATCGTGGCGCCCGGCGGCTCTGGGGGCGCGGGCCTTGGGGTCTGCTCCTGTGTGCGAAGAGCCAAGGCCGATGCCCCAGGGTAGCGCGGCGAGGCTACTGGGAATCAGACTTCAGCTTTGCCCCTCTCGGTCCTGGCAGAGCCTGGGAGACTGGTGGGAGCGAGCGGAGATCTGCAGGGGCACTCCCCGGAGGGTTATCCCGGGGCTACACTGCTATATTCTTTGCTAAACATAGCTTTCTTAGAAGTTAGGTTACAGAAGGTTCATAACCCATACTCCCTGTAAGCATTAGGATCCCCATTTTACAGATGGCGCAGAGACCTTCAGCGGCTTGCCGACATCTCTCTAGTCCGATAGAACCAAGACTCCAAAATCGTGCCCTATCCAGGCACAGTTATGCCTGCTAATTTGAGGCGCATTCTGCGGTCTGGGACAAACATGAGGTGTGGGTGGGACAAAAAGGCATGAGTTCCTCCCTCTCTGTGTTATTCCCAGATCTTTGTACCACGATTCATTCTTAAATCCCGTCGCCTTTCCACCTCCTTTCTCAATGTGGTAGGTTTGTCCAAATCGCCAAGATGCCACCCCACCCTAAATAAATACCTTCTTCCTCACCCCCGCACCGCCACCAAGCCCCCCGGGATTTTTCAGAGCCTGCCTGTCTGTTATTTATACCCACTGGAGCGGTCCAAGAATGTTCCGAGGCTGACCTAATCGCCACCTGCTCGGCTTCCCTGCCCCTCCCGCTCCCTCCTGGGCCTGGTGACCCAGCAGCGATGCCCTGCGCCGGGGAGACGAGCGGGAAAGCGGGCCACCAGGGTCAGATGCCACTGCCGATCAGAGGGTCCCGGCAGGGCAGATTCGCTCGGGGTTGGAGAACCTCCCCACACCAGGACCCGAAGAATGCACCCCCAGGGCACCGCGCGAGCGCAGGGGGCCTGGCAGCTCTCACTCCCGCGCGTACTCTCCCAGCCCAGCCCCCACTCCCTGAGGAGTGTGACTACGTGCGCGCGGGTTTTTAAAAGGCAGCTTTAAAAATAGACAAATCTTGTTGCTTCTAAATCCGGGAGCAATCACTGACGCTTTCTTTACCCTGATAAATCTGCTCACAAAATGCAAAGGGACCTGCAGAAGGGGTAATTTTAGGGGTAACATTAGCTACTGAGGAGCTAACGTAGAAGCCTGAAACTGCCTCCCCAAGATCTTGCGGGGTTCCTAAGACGCGCCACCTTTGGCCTGAGGACTCTGGCCGAGTTTGGCAAATCATATGTGAGTATGGATCTGAAACCTGAGGATGTGGCTTCTGAAACCAGTTTCAACACCCACTCCCTCTTGGGGTTTGAACAAATCTCTTCTTTCCTTATCTCTGTTTCCGCCACTAAAAACCTAACAGGTGACCCTGCCGACCTTACACTGGGCTATGTGCCCCAGCTAATTAATGATTAATCACTAATTAATCTTATCTGCAAATGAGAGGAGCTGGGGAGACTTCTAATGACAGTCACAGTGTTTTGTATTATTTTAAATCGGTTAACATCCCACATAGCGCCTGGGGGCTTTTAGGCACCTAGACAGAAAGTGTGAAAATACAAGAATGAAAATTTAATAGGAGCCGCCTATTAAAACCTCATTAAAAATAAAGCTGGCAGCCAGGCTCTGGAATCTAGGGAATCCAGGGCATAGAGACTCAGAAAATAGAGCGGTTCATCACAACACAAGAAGAAGGAGTGGAAAACATCTGACTTCCCTGGGGTTTAAATCTGGAAGCAGAGAGCAGAAATGTTGCAGTTGATTTGAATTGTCCCTAAGGTACTGTAGGAGAAAAAAAAAAAAATCAAAACAAAACCCAGAGCATACTGGGCTTCTTCAAAGATGAAAGGATACAGGCTTGCCTTGGAAACCCAACTCCCAGCTACTGCAGCCCCCATGATTCAGATTTCTATGTGCTATGGTCAGAGTCCTTAATACACACTGTTCTGTCAGTGCCATCCCCAACCCAAATAGAGTTCAAGATGAAATGCTCAGGGCCAGAGGACCAGATGAAGGCAGAAACCTAATGAGAGGCAGCTTGGTTCAGGGTAGATTGGTCCACAGCCAACTATCAGGACATTCACAGACTCACTTTGAGTTCCTGGTATGTCCTTATCATTGTACCTTCATTTGTTTATTTATTCATTCATTTATACAGTCAAAAAAATATTTGAATTTCACTCTATGCTACAGCCTATGCTAGGTGTTGGGAATACAAAGAGAAATAAGGCAAAGCCCTAATAATGCAGCATTTACATGGGAAAGCAAAGGGAGGAGAAACCAGGTTCCACTAAGACATGACACTTGATTGGTCTAGATGAGTAGGAATTAGTCATGTGGAAAGGCATGCTAGTCGAATATCAGGGTGTGTCAAACCCCAGGGGTATTTGTGTATGAATTATGACCTAGCAATTCTACTTTTTTGACATCTACTTTACACAAATGTGTACCAGTGCAGAAGGAAGTACAAGAATGTTTGCATATAAGAAGTGTTTGCAATCGGGGAAAACTGGAAATAAATGTCTATCACAAGGGAGATAGTTGAGTAACCTAAAGTTCATCCACCCGTGCTGTGGATTACTCTGTAACTAGAGAACAAAGTGGAGAGAGACTTTTTTGTGTGTCAGTGCCAGAAAGGAACCCAGGACCTTGCATTTAGAAGGCAGATGCTCTATCACTAACCTAAACCCCCAGCCCAAGACAGAGAGAGGGAGAGAAGGGAGAAGGAAGTAATCTATTTTTTGGGGGGAGGGGGAGGGAGGCCACTGGGGCTTGAACTCAGTCAGGGGTTTGAACTCATTTGAGCCACAGTGAAGGAGGTGTTCTTCTATGAGGACCTCTAAGACGCTGTTGAACAAAAAGCAAAGTACAGAATATTTAGAGAGAAAAATACACTCAATTGATTTTGGTAGTCATCTCTAGGGAGAGGTCTGGAATTGATAAGGGACTTTTTTTTTCAATATCGGAAAATTTACAATGAGGGGCTACGGGTATAGTTCAGTGGTTAAGAGTGTGCTTAGCATACACAAGCCCTGGGTTCAATCCCCAGCACCAAAAAAAATAATCTGCATTGTGAATGTACCTATGTGTAGGGGGTGGAGGGGTGATAAGAGATGCTGATTCCAAAACACTGTTGTCCAATAGAATTTTTTACAATGGTAGAAATACTCAAAGCTATGCTGTCCATATGATAGCCACCAGCCATAGATGGGTGTTGAGCACTTGGAGTGTGGCTAGGGTGACGGAAGAATTAAGTTTTAATGGTTTTTTTTTTTCAGATGGGCATCTCACTATGTTGCCCAGGCTGACCGTGCATTTCTGGGCTCAAGGGATCCTCCTGGCTCAGCCTCCCAAGTAGCTGCAATTACAGGGGAACATCACCCAACTTATCCTTTTATTTTCTTTTTTTGGTGCTAGGGATTGAACCCAGGGCCTCACACACGCTAAATGCATAATCATGCAATCTATTATTGAGCTACTCCCCCAGTCCAGACTTAAACTTTTAAAAATAACTCTGGCCATCCCATAAAGGGTAAATTAGAGCACAGATAGGGCTGCAAGTAGGACTGGCTCCTCTGAAGGCTGTCTTGTTTCTCGAGTTTCTCTAGGTTTCTGAACATTGTCCCAGCATTCCTGATAGGCAGCTGAGTAAAGTACCAAATTATCCTAATTCAACAGCTATGTTTTTAGGACCTCAGTCAACCCCAGATGGAAAAACTGGTCCTGTTATCCAGAACGGTTACCCTCAGTGGGAGAAGGTGTTTCTGCGTTAGGATGGCAGGAAGAGCAACAGAGGAAGGGCACTAGAGTGAAAACACAAAACAGGTTTTGGAGTACAGCTACAAAGAAAGCTTCTCCAGAGGAAAGAATTGCCCAGGGCAGAATCTTTGGAAAGTACCATGTTGTTGGCAGGAGGTGCTCTGGGAGCTGCCATCGTAGTCCACCTTTCAGCTCTGGAGGGGGAGGCTTCTGCTTGGCAAGTCTGCTTCCCAGGCATCTGGGGGCCTCCTTTGCTGGTGACAAGCAGTACTAGTGAAGAGCCCTTTCATTTTATTTAGCAGGCTTTCAGGAACACCCACTGGATGCCAGACAACATGCTGGGTGCTCATGCCCTCAATTTGAGAAAGCAGACAAGATCTCTCGCTTCATGGAATCTTCCACTAAAATCAAATAAAGATCCAAATACATAATTACAAATTGTAAATGTTTTAAATGGGAGAAAAGGACAGAGTGAGGGGCTGGGGGTGTATTTCAGTGGTATAGTGCATCTTACATATGCCAGAGCTGGGTTCAATCCCCAGCACTGAAAAAAAAATATTTTTAAAAAAGCAGAGGGCTATGAAAGACCAAGTTCAAGTGGGGAGATTAAAAGTAGACTTCTTTGGAAATTTAAGCCTCTGTCCCCCAAAAGACTCAAATGTCAGCCAGGTGGACAAAAGAACTCACAGAAGAGCATTCCAGGCAAAGAACTGAGGACTGATGTGTGCACAGTCCCTGAAATGGAACCTTGACCTTCTAGATAAAGGGGACATGGTGAGCAAGATGAGGTAACAGAGGCCACAGCACCCAGATACTGCCAAGCTTTGTGAGTTTCTTCTGAGTTCAGAAAGAAGCTCTGGGAGGGCTGTAAGCCAAGGATTGGACTGAATGGTTTTTTGTGGATGCTGTGACTAGAGCCAGGAGTCAGCAAATGATGGCCTGTATGGCCCATAAGCCAAGAATGGTCATTACATTTTTTTTAA